TTTTCCTCTCATCCCTCTCTTGCAAAACACACAAAGGTAGCCCCTCTCTCTCTCTCTCTCTCTTTCTCCACTACAACAAAACTGAGTTTTTACGGTTCCACCTTAACGACATACAGTAAATGCAAGGCATGATTTCTCATTTTTACGATTTATTTTTTTTTGCATGTCGTAAATAATTTCCTAACCACAGCGTGTCTATTGCGTAGGCCGTAAATGCTAATACTGAAGATTTTTTTACGGCTTGCAATGTTAGCCGTAAATAATAAAACTTTCTAGGACGTGCATATGACATGTCGTTAATACATCAATTATACATGACACGCGTACACCAGCCGTTAAAAATATTAAACATTTCACGGCGCACAAAAAGTCAGTCGTTAAAAATATTATACTTTTTACGACGCACAAAAAGTCAACCCTTAAAAAGTAAACTTTCTATGACACACATATGCTAGTCATTAAAAATATTTTACTTTTCACCACATACAATTTCTATCATAAATAATATAACCAAAATAACAGTAAGCGCCAAAACAAAATACTCACGCTAAATACTAAAATGAAATTGGGCATAGTTCTCCCTGCCTCTCTCTCTCTCTCTCTCTGCAAATGCTAAAAACTCAACTAGTGATCTGCAGAAGCTCCTCTACCACACCCTTCCATTTCAAACCCTAAATCATATTCTCACCAATTTCTCTCTCTCTCTCTCTCTCCCCTCCAATTTCTCTCTCTACAACCCACAACGGCTATGGTTCTTCTCTCACCAAATTCATCGATCTAGAGCTGCCATGGAGACTAGCAAAAGGCAAGAGCGGGTTTTTAGAGACTTCCATTACCTTTTACCGGTTCTGAACTCGCTCAACACTCACCGTGGTTAACCCTCTTCCTATTCCCTTCTTAAGATCTAATTTCTATGTACTCTTTTGCTGTTTTCTTGTTGAGTTTTTGATTTTTTGGAGAAAAAATTGTGTTTTTGACTTTGGGTTTTTTTTGTTTAGATGGATCGGTATCAGAGGGTAGAGAAACCGAGGCCAGAGACGCCGATTAACGAGAATGAGATTGGTATAACCACTCAGGGGAGGATGAGGAACTAAATTATTTATGCTATCACTCTGTTTCAGGTCTCTCTCTCTCTCTCTCTCTCTCTCTCTCTCTCTCTTTCATTGAAAAATTAGGGTTTTGATTGAGCAAATCAAAAATTACAATTGTGTTTTAGGTTGTGAATTTTTATTTATTTATTTATTTATTTTTTCTTGAATGTGAGTTGGGGAAAATGTTTGAATCTGAATTAAAAAAAATTAAAACTTGAATGTGAAATTAGGTTCTTGGTGAAGGAAAATAATTTTTTTGAATTTTTCCATCTTGTTATTGCTTTTCTCTGCATCCAAATTGAAGGGTTATGGTTGTTTTGATGTTTGATAATTGTTTTGGGTCCATCTTTTTCTTCTTCTTCTTCTTCTTCTTCTTCTTCTTCTTTTTTAATGAAACAATGGAAAGCATGAAATTGGTAAGTTTTTGAGGTAGATCTGTTGATTGTTTTGTTTTTTCCCATCTTCTACTTATCCATCCAATTTCTTGACATAAACAATAGTTTGTCCTACTTGAAGTCTGAATTACGAAAATTAAAGGCCTGCTGAATGTGAAATTAGGTTCTTGGTGAAGGAAAATAATTTTTTTGAGTTTTTCCATCTTTTTATTGCTTTTCTTTGCATCCAAATTGAAGGGTTATGGTTGTTTTGATGTTTGATAATTGTTTTGGGTCCATCTTTTTCTTCTTCTTCTTCTTCTTCTTCTTCTTCTTCTTTTTTAATGAAACAATGGAAAGCATGAAATTGGTAAGTTTTTGAGGTAGATCTGTTGATTGTTTTGTTTTTTCCCATCTTCTACTTATCCATCCAATTTCTTGACATAAACAATAGTTTGTCCTACTTGAAGTCTGAATTACGAAAGTTAAAGGCCTGCCTTAGACATTTTAAAAAAATTTATTACTGTCTTCAATTAAGATCAGCATTTCTGCTATGAATGCCCTCTCACTTAATGTAGAAACTCACGTAGGTTTGATTATGTTAATTTCCAATTGGCTTTTTTCTTCTCAATATGGAAGGAAGACATTAAAGTTCATCACATTTTTGTGCCTTGTTGACCATTCTCCATATTCAATTTCTTCCTTATCATTTTCTTATGTTAAAGTATGTGAATTAATACATGGGTTAACCTTTACCTGTACTATGCTTAATGACCTGGCATGGCTTACATTTTGGATGAAATCCTATTTATCTAAATCAATGATTATCTTATCAACATTTATCTTTATTTTCTTCCAAATAATGATTGGTCTGCTTTCTTTTCAATAGAATCTCATTCACTTTGATCTTTTGTTTTTCAATCTCACTATTTTCAATTTTTTCAATCTATGTTTGTATATTGGTAGAACATAATTTTATGTATTTCTAATGAATATAGATAATTAGACTACGTTATTCCTTTTTGTCTTGAAGGAAGAACATTTGAATCCTTAATTTTTTTCTTAAAAAAATGCAATGTTGGCTGTAGGCATTGGGCTTAGGATAAGTGGGTTTGTGTTTGCTTCCTTGGAGCTTCGGTTTTGGGCATCGTATTGAGGCCAGACTTTAGCTAGGACAAGTTAGATTTAGTTGATGCTTATTCATTTTACTCCCTGAATCTTATGGGAAAACTTTGTTTATTTTCAATTTCAGCATCTTTTGGATAGTTTACACGACATAGATATTTACTTCATATTCTAATAGTGTCCATTATCATGGCTAGAATTATAGTGTTTGGCATGATTTACTATAGAAGGGCATTAATGTTGTAGAGTTTACTGGAAAGAAGATCTCTGAGAAAGGTCAAATATCAACGGTGATAAACTATGCATATTTAAATGTATTGCTCATCTGTTAACATTATTGATCTAACAACTATAAGCAGTGATCTCTATTTATAGAAAAGTATTCATGTTAAACATTAGGTTGGGCATTACATTTTATCTCTCATATATTTTTCATTTTGTGAAATCTTTGTGTGAAATTAATTGATTCTGTTAATTTGTTAAATATTTGATGTTGGGAACTGCCATATGTGTCCTTGTTACAATATCTATAAGGGAACACATTGTTTCCATAGTTGTGTGAAAGAATGACTTAGTTATTTTGCATCAAGGTATGTACTTTAAGAACTTGGTGAAGTTCAAGTGTAAATGGAAGTTGATTGAGTGGATAACTTGTAGCTAATCTTTCATAACAAATTACTGGCGTAGAAATTATTAAATTGGGGTGTGATTACCATACCTGAGTGACTGACTGCAATAATTATTCACTATGATTCTGATGATAATTTTTAGTTCTTTCATCACTGCCTCTGAATTAATGTGCTATTAATTGGGTGGATAGGACCAAGTGATGAGTTTGGTGCTATGTTGGTTTAATATTTAGTTTTATTGACTATCAAATAATTTCAAGTTTTGTTTGTCCACCTTACCTTTTCAGATAATCTTGGAGAAGATTGCCCTATCTTTGAAAACCTGTTTCAGTTCTATCAAATTTATGCTGGTGGAACTATAGGTAAATTATGATCAAATGGTATTGTAATTTAAACTTGAGTGGCATTAAGTTTTCCTTGACTAGGGATTGAAGTTTTTTGGCAGATGCTGCACGTAGATTGAACAATCGGCTTTGTGACATTGCCATAAATTGGGCTGGTGGACTACATCATGCCAAGAAGTGCGAGGCATCTGGTTTTTGTTACATCAATGACTTGGTTTTGGGGATTTTGGAGCTTCTAAAATATCATCCACGTGTTCTATACATTGGTATAGATGTGCAGCATGGTGATGGTGTTGAAGAAGCATTCTATTTTACAGACAGGTAATGACAACTCTCTCTCTCACATGCACACACATTGCGCGTGAATGTGTTCTAGAAGGGGGAGGGGGTTGAATATGGAAACCTAAGTTTTTAGGCGCTATTTCAATCTTTCTTCCTAACTTACCTTTCCTGTCTTGCATTGAGCCTATTTCAACTTTTTATGTGCTTCTGTTGAATTTGATATGCAACTTTTTCACTCACAAGTTAAGTGTTTGGTTGGGTAGAACAATTTGTTTTCTTTGATTTATTTCCAAAACCCAAGCTATGCAAAATTTTAAATTTATTATTTCTTCAATTCAAATTGTAGACCAATTATTGCTTGCTGAATCTGTTAACGCACAATCATAAGAAGGGCATCAAGAAAGAAGCCTGTTGAACAATCTCAAACATTACTGCTGGAAACAAGGAATAGATACAGGTAAGCTTTCAAATATTTGCAACTGAAATACTCAAAGTTAACTACTATAAATACTCAATTGACTACTTGAATTTTATATCTATTTGTTATACCAACAAGTTGATGATCATGACTTTATTTTATATGAATTTATTATTATTAATTTTTTTAATATGGTTCTGGCCTTCATTGTATGGAAAAAAAAAATTTCTCTAGCCCTTTAGATGTAATTGATAATATATTAATGTTTTCTTTGTCTATTTTCTTTGCAGATTGGTTTTTGATGACGTTTGGAAGTATACTTGCAAATGAAGATCAATTGTTGAATTTTGTTTCGTGAACTGATACTTAGTTGTAGTTTCAAATCAAGATTGAGTGTTGATTTTTTTTTGTGGATTTCACGGTAGTTCATTTTGAGATTTGCTTTGGTGGTTTTTTTATTGTACCTAATGGTTTATATTATTAAAGTTGTTTGATGGATATATTTTGATTTATAATATAAATTGTTTATTGATTTTTTTTGTGGAGTGATGTATAATAGCTAGTGGATTTCTTAGTACAATTAAAAGGCTATTGGGACATGAGCAGGGATATTTGTGAAATAATAATAGCATAACTCATATAATTTCTAAATGTCAAAAGAGTAAACTACACATCAAACAAAGTATTCTCTCCCAACAAAATAAGGAAATATGTATACTTTGCACAATGTTATTTATTTAATTAATTAATTTTTTAGTGGAGTAATGGGGCTTTTCCCAAACTAAGCCTCTTTTGCCTCATATTTCCAAACTAGGCCTAGTTTTTGACGGATTTCTCAAACTAAGCTAAAGTGCTATTACGAATCGCGTTTTAACTGTTTGGAGGCCAAAATTTGATGAATAGTTAAGGTGCTATTGTGAATCGCGAGTTTAATTAATAAAAACGCTGTTTGGAATAGCGATTTTAGCCTCAATTATAAAACGCTATTCTGAATAGCGCTCATTTGCTATCTTTCCGACCTCAATTATAAAACGCTATTCTGAATAGCGCTTCATTTTCTGATTGCTTTAATAAATAAAACGCTATTACAAATAGCGATTTCAATTCTGAATAAAACGCTATTGCAAATAGCGGTTTTAATTGTGAATAAAGCGCTATTTAGAATAGCGTTTAAACTGTTTCAGTCCTTGTTTTGTGATAATGTGATTCATAAAATTTATTGGCTTTTAAAGCCATTGTCATGTTAAAATTTTTTTTTTTCTTTTGTTTTGGTTTAGAAGGTGTAATTCAGAAATTTACATAATATTGAGAAAAACCTCTTTTCATATATTATTTTTACATAATATTTTTCATATATATAATTTTTAAAATCATATTGACGTAGATATTATTAAGCCAATCAAGTTCATTTACAAAAGTCATGGTTTCACTGTTCACTATTGTAAGTATGGATTGAAACCACACTTTCACTGTTCATTTAAATTAGATTTATTTTTTTTGTAAATATTTTTTTTTCTATTGTCATTGTTTCGGTGATAATGTAATTTATAAATTTTGTTTGGCTGTACTGAAGCCGTTCTCATATTAAATTTTTTATTTTTTCTTTGTCTTTGTGTTGGTTTAGAAAATGTAATTCAAAAAAATTTTTGGTCTTTGCTGAAGCCGTTTTCATGTAAATTTTGTTGTTTATTGTTTTGTGTTTGTTTTCGGTTAGAAGGTGATAATGTAATTAATAATTTTTTTTTTTTGCTTTTCTGAAGTCGTTTTTCATGTAAATTTTTTTTTTCTTTTGTCTTTGTTTGAGTTAGAAGGTGTTATTCAGAAATTTATTTTGGCTTTACGAAAGCAGTTTTCATTTTAAATAATATATATTAATCCTTTTGTCTTTGTTTTGGGTTAGAAGGTGAGAATGTAATTCAGAAAACCAGTTTAGTAAAACCGTTTTGTATCCGTTTTCATTAAAAAAAATTATTTTTTGTTTCGTCTTTGTTATGGGTTAGAAGGTGATATGCATGCTCTACAGTCCGAAGCACACCCACACACTGTGCAGCTCGACGAGCAACGACGAAGGGTGAGACGCGAAGACCACCGCGGAGTAGGCCAAGAAGACGAAGGCCACAGCGAGAGCTCCTAAAATAAATTTTGTCAACATTTTTTGTAATAAATCTTAATACATAATATACGAAGTCACTAATTTACTAAATACTCATACAAGCATGAAAACAACATAACTGAAGTTGCAAATGTAATAGTTTTCAATTACATAGGTAGTACAGACATAATTCTCCACAAAAATACATTCTGGACCATGAACTGAACGCATATTACATACATCCTGGACATCCTAAACTGAACACACAATACATAAACATAATAGTTAGACAGACAAACACATAATTCATGACCTAATATGCATATTAATAGCCGCACATTTGACAAACACAATACATAAACATAAAATAAAACATAAAACATAACATAACAGTTATACTTACTCTAACACAAACATTACATATTAATGCATGACCTAATATTGCCGAAGTGTAGACATTAACACCTAATTCGCGCTTAAATCGGCAGGTGGCTCAGAGTCTGAATAATCCGAAAGCTCAGCATCAGAGACAAGCTCAGGATCCTCCATGATACCGTTGATAGCCGCAACATTTGGTCGTTTCTGTTCTTCTGGGCATCCTTCTTAACTATGTATAGCTGCATATCGCGGGCTAACCTACGGCCCATTTGAGAAATCTCACGTTGTAGTCTTTCACATAGTCGATCAGCATTATCAGGATCCTCCTTTTGGATCTCAACAGAACGTGCTTTTGGCACCTTCAGTCGATTTTCCGACATAATCTTTCCATTTGCACTCGCTCTATAAATAGTGCAGGCCACTTCAGAAGTCTAGCGTTTGCTAAACCATATCCGTTGATTATCTGATGGATCCTCCACCAAACCACATGGATCTCGATAGTAATTTGGGCATGACAAAATGTCGCTTCCCAAACCTATCATGATAAGCACAAGAGGATCTAACAAAGGAAATGGTGTTTCATCTTCAGCATTGCCACTTCCCCTTCCCCCTCGTCGTGAACTATCACCCCTTTGCAAGTTCCTACCACCTCTGCGATTCCCACTCCCTCCCATGAACCATGTAGCCATGCTAATTTTTTAAAACAAATAAATGACAATTTTGTAGAGCGAATGAGTTGTAAGGTTGTGTCTTCACTTTAGCCGTTTATATAGTTGGTTATGAACGGCTTTACAAAGATGCCTCTGCATCACAATCCCACATATATGAACAAGGTATGAGTGTCACTAGACTGGAAAAACAGAGAAAAAGAAAATACTGTGTACGAAGTCACGTGACTTGACAATCCATCTGCATATACGGACAAAATAAAGGCATGCTGACTGGAAGGTAAATCAGTGAATTCACTGTTGCCATGTGACATTCTGAATTGAGAATCCCACATATATCAATAAGAGATGAGTTGTCACTGTAATTAAAAAATCGAGCAAAACATCAACTTGACCAAAGCTGTGCACCAAGTCACATGACTTGACAATCCGTTGCATATACGGACAAATAAGGGCATGCTCACTGTAAGGTAAATCAGTGAATTCACTGTTGCCATGTGACTTTCTGAATTGAGAATCCCACATATATCATAAGAGATGAGTTGTCACTGTGTATCAAATAATCGAGCAAAAATATCGAGAAACAAAGCCTATGCACCAGGTCACATGACTTCGCAATGACAAGCCTCTCCACGATTTGACTACTCAATGTTTTAAAAAACGAAGCTTATGTAGGCATGTTGTGTTTCACTTAGCTATACATCATTCGTTGTTACGACCTACTATTTCTATCAACGGAAAAATATGACTATTTGAATTTCTATTGTCATTTGGAATTATTTTAAATCAACTTTTGAATATTCGATTTGTAATATTTTGGGAAACATTTACAATCTCAACTTTTGAAATCAACTTAAAAGAATGGTGAATCTTGTTGAGTGAAACGTGGGTTACGTAGGAGTACTTGGCCAGCAATGTTTTATGAATATCATGGTGCATTTCAAATCTATCCAGAAAAGTGGTGCATTCAAATCTGTCTGGAAAACTGGTGTGACACAGTAATGTCGGAAGTGTGTTTCTCTTTGGGTATAAATCCGAAATTAACAAATCAGCGTCATTAGAACTGATAACAATTCTAGTTCTATACTAAGAGAATCGTCAATTTCTTAAAAAATGTTCAGAAAACAATCTGTTTGGGTATAATTAATTCTAAATAGTGATTCATCTCAACCAAATCAAATAAACCAATTGGGTTTTAAACTTAGTCCCCCAACTGGACCAACCACTTGGGTGAGCTTGTTTGTCTAGCCCCGAATTTAGTTTTTCTGTCAACCCCCCATTCCTTACCAGAGTCATTCATTTGTACTGGACTTACAGAATTAGAAGGTGACTCTTCTTCTTCCCTGATGGAGATTGGAATTCTTTACGTAGAGGATCCTATTAACGAGGCGCAGTTAAAGCAAGCCTTTTTCACCGAGCTACCTGTTCTGTTTTATGCGTTATTGAAGGCGGTAGTTGTTTGTCTGAACTTTATTAGTCCCCAACTACACCAAGCACTTGGTTTTGAGCCTGTTTGTCCAGCCCCCGAAGTTTAGTTTTATGTCAACCCCCCATTCCTTACCAGAGTCATCATTTTTACTGGACTTCCAGGAATTAGAATGCCGACTCTTTCTTCTTTCCTGATAGATATTGAAATTATTTACGTAGAGTAAAATGCCTTTGACGAGGCCCAGTTACGGAAGCTTTTCACCGACCTACCTCTCTGTTTTATGTGTTATTGAAGGGGTAGTTCGTTTCACCGAGTTTAATTTTCTGTCAACCCCCCATTCCTTACCAGAGTCATCATTTGTACTGGACTTACAAAATTGGAAAGTGACTCTTTCTTCTTTCCTGATGAGATTGAAATTCTTTACGTAGAGGATCCCTATTTAACGAGGCGCAGTTAAGGGAAGCTTTTCACTGAGCTACCTGTTTATTTTA